GCATTCTCTTCTGTTCTCATGCTAAGATGTGGTTTGGGGCTGTTTTGTCATTCTGCATTGTTTTCATTTTTTCCACTTATTTTGAAACAAACTCACGGAAGAGGGTTTTTTTTTTTTTAAGTTAATTTATTTTTTTTTTAATTTTTCAAAAATATTTATTTTTGAGAGGGAGACAGAACACAAGCAGGGGAGGGACAGAGAGAGACGGAGACACAGAATCCGAAGCCGGCTCCAGGCTCCGAGCTGTCAGCACAGAGCCCGACGCGGGGCTCGAACCCACGAACCGTGAGATTATGACCTGAGCCAAAATCAGACACAACTGACTGAGCCACCCAGGCGCCCCTACATAAGAGTTTATAAATACAATACAAAGAAAAAAATTTTTTGCTGAACCATCTGAGACTATGTTACAGACCTGATTCAACTCCCCCAAATACTGACTGTATTTCCTGCAAACAAGGACATTCTCCTAGTTGACCACCTTCCAGTCCTCAAAACGGGGGTATTAATACTGACCTGCACTGTCTTTGGCCGTCATCAGGGAGACCCATCCATACTTATGCAATTGCCATAGTCTCCAGCTACCCAGAAAGCCTAAAATACTAGATAAAAGTCTTCATCGCAGGTGACTGACCCTGATGTCCACGGACTCTCCCCAACTTCTTACGTGTATGATCCATCCGTCGTGAGCTGGGATCTGCCACCGTCCAGGAAGCCAAGTCTTGAGGGGAACAAGCATCCTCTCGGGAGACACCTGCGTAAGAAGGAACTGTGCCCACCGATCGACAGCTGCTGGTGTCTCCTTCCCAGGGCATCTCGGGGGAATTTGGGGCTCCAGATTTTCAGGTTTGTCCCCACAAATGACTGAATCCCAGATCCCAGAGGGTCCCAAGGCTGCGTATTTCGCCTCCTTTGAAGCCCTGCACCGTCAGGCTGAGACCCTGGCCTGATTTCAGCGGGGTCGCCCCCTTCCAACTGCTCTAGAGGACTCTGGATTTCGTGGCACATCTTCAACGGGAAATTGCCGCTCCGGGCCGGTCACTCTGTTCCTACGGTTCACGTCGCCATCAGGACAGACCGCCCCTTGCCATGTGCGTGGTTTCCATGAGGATCCGTCAAGTTCTAAAACCACCGAGTCCGCCGGCGCCTGCCTTTCACCCACACGCCCTCCCAATAGCACAGGTGACAGCAAGTGGCTGTGATGTGCCAAGGCTGGTGCTTAGATCCACGGTCATGGTCATCTGCCAGCGGCTCCTCCCGTTCACAGCCCAGAAAGGGGTCCGCACGGGTCTGCACCAGGGGTTCTCGACTGAAGGTGACTTCCCGCCAGGGGACATCTGGCTGTTTGGGTGGTCACACCGGCAGGGGCGGCAGGGTACCACAGGCATCCTGGTGGGTAGAGACCAGGGATGCTGCTCAACATCCCACAGCATCAGAACCCAGGCGCCCCCTGCCCCACAGCCAAGAATTATCCAGCCCCAAATGTTAACAGCGCTGGTGTCAGGAAGCCTGCTTTTCGTCCATTACTTTCTTGGCATTCCCTGGGGGAAGGAGGGGTTTTAAGGGTTTTGAGATGAGCACATAAGCAGAGATGAACCCATTAGACAAAGAGAAGCTCTCCATTCTGTGCCACCAAACAGAACACGAGAAAGAAGTGGTCCAAATGGGCATCTCGTGACCCCAAAGACACTGAACTAGTGTCCTCTGGCTGTCGTTATAAATTAATCTCAACTCGGTGGCTTAAAATAACATCCAGAAGTCCAAACTGAAGGTGTCAGGAGGGCCGCGCAACCTTCAGAGCCTCGAGGGGCGTCTGTCCTGTGTCTCCTGTGGCAGCTTCTGGGGTCCCCCCACTCCCTGGTTTGAGGCTGATGGTTCCACTCACGGCCCTGTCTGCTCACGGCCTCCTCCTCTCTGCTCTGTGTCCCCTCCCCTTCCATCTCTTGTAAGGACACCTGTCACTGGATTTAGGGCTCCCCGCCCCCCAGATAATCTAGAACGATCTCGGGATCCTTCACTTCATTTTGTCGGCAACATAACTTTTTCCAAATCAGCTCAGATTTGGACAGATCGTTCAGGGGTTCACGCTTTGACGGGCTAGAGGCCCAGCCTCGGGATGAGGTTGACTCTGTCGAACGGTCAGATACGCAGAAGGAAGCTTGGCTGCATCACTGAGCCCAAGCCTGCCTTACTTCTGGACTTGTGCTGCTATGAAATAGTGTCCCTTCTTGCTTGTGACTGGGGTGAATATCAGCCCAGCTCACATGCTGCATGTGTGCTCTCATAGCAGGCATGGGTGGCCCACAGAGCCTGGCTGAAACCCCAAAGCCCGAACAGCAGTCTGAAGGGTTTGACACAGTCGTGGGTTTCTTTAACACAAACAAAACAGGGGCACCTGGGTGGCTCAGTCGGTTAAGCGGCCGACTTCAGCTCAGGTCATGATCTCGCGGTCTGTGAGTTCGAGCCCCGCGTCGGGCTCTGTGCTGACTGCTCAGAGCCTGGAGCCTGTTTCAGATTCTGTCTCCCTCTCTCTGACCCTCCCCCATTCATGCTCTGTCTCTCTCTGTCTCAAAAATAAATAAACGTTAAAAAAAAAAAAAAACAACAACAAAACAAAAAAAACCATCCCCAAAGCATTACCCTCATGATTCGTTCTTCAGTCTGCTTATTACGTTGCCACCATCCTCTCTGTGGACTTGTGTGGGTTTGAAGTTTTTCTAGGCCAGTTTTGATCATCTTTCATCTATCTGGGGGCTATGTTTAGAGTTATGAATCACCTCAAGGCTTTCAGTAAAGTAGCGGGGGTTACGTTATTTGAGTCAACGCCTGCGGTCCTTGTGGCTTCTCAGTTCCGGAAAGGAAGTGGATGTTGCTTGTGAGGGTTCGTGGCTACAATCAACCCCGGGCCGAGTTGGACTTGTCTCCCTAAGAGCTAGGTTCTTGTGGGAGCGGCCACCCCAGTGGGCTGGCCTTCACGCTCCTTCCATTTAGGCCTGTGGCCCCCTGCCACGAATGTGGGCTTCTGCATCAGACTGGATTCCAACTCTTGTTGCTAAGACACTCCAGGGTTCGTTGGCTGGTTGGTCGGTTGGTTTTAAGTAAACTCTACGCCCAAAGTGGAGCTCAAATTCACAACCCCAAGATCAGGAGCCTCACACTCTTCCAACCGAGCCAGGTGGGTGCCTCCCTGGGTTGTTGGGGTTTTGTTTTTTGTTTTGCTTTGTTTTTAAAGAGGCAATAGTGGGGAGTTAGTGGTAACGTGTGCTCATTTCACTTGACTTCCTTGCAACACTGACGATGCCAATTTTCCTTTACTAGAAACAGGAGGACTTGATGGGAAGCGTCAGGGAAGGTCATGGTCCTGGGAAAAGCCGAGGAAGAGGGTTTTGGAGAGGATGGGGCGCCAGGGAGAAGGGTGGCTGCCCCAAATCCCGAGAACCTGTTACTTTACGTGGCAGAGGGGCATCGAGGGGGCAGATGGAATTGTTGCTCTTGAGCTGTTGTGAAGGAGAGAGGTGGTCCCGGATCACTGGGCAGGCCGAATAGCCTCACCAAGTTCCCTAAAAGCGGGGGAGAGGGAGAGCCAGAAAGATGGCCATGTGAGGACTTGGCCTGTCATTGCTGGCCCTGAAGGCGGAGGAAGGGCCACGAGGCGAGGAATGTGGGGGCCCCTAGAAGCGGGAAAAGGCAGGAAGCAGATCCTCCCCGTGAGCCTCCGGAAGGAATGCAGCCCTGGTGACATTTCGACCTTAGCCCAGAGACCCGTTCTGGACTTCTGATCTCCAGAACTCTGGAGCGTGAACCACCCAGTCTGGGCTCGTTTGTCAGAGCAGCCGTACGAAGCTGGTACAGACAGGAGCCAGGGTGCAGGGGCCAGGAGCCGACAGACCTCTTTGGGACAAACCTTATTGGTCTTGGTGTCAGCCCCATCGAGATCCAGATTCAGGGAGAGGGTCTGGTTGGTCTTGCTCGAATCACCTCCACGTGCCTGCTGCCCAGATACACAGAGATAAGGCACCCCGATTGAGAAACCCACCCAAACTGGGCAGCAGGGAGCCAGGAAGTCTGTGCAGGAGCTTCCGCTTGCCGAGCGGGTGGAGGCGCAGGGAGTGACGTCCCCAGAGATAGCACGGCTCCGTGCCCCTTGCCCTGTGGGGCTCTGCCCCCCCCCCCCCGGAGGCTGCCTCACCCCTGATCTACTCACAGAGAAGTCACAGACAAACCCAAACTGAAGCACCTTCTATAACATACCTGGCCAGGACTCTTCAGAAGCGTCCCACTCAAGAAACAGAGAGACGGTTCAGTTTAAAGCGGATTAAGGAGACAGGACAAGTGATGTAACGTGTGATTCTGGATTGGCTACTGGATCAGAAAAGAATTTCGGTGGTTTTCTTTTGCACTGTAAAGGACATTACCAATGATAAAACTTCAACGTCTGTAGATTAGATATGAGATCCTAGCATCGTCAGTATTATTTTCTGGGTTTTGGTCATTGTACTGTGGTTATGTTAGCGAATACTGTCACCTCCGGGCAAATCCTACACATATATTTGGAGAGCCGGAGGTTTTGAGGTTATGCTCAGACTACCGGACTACCAGAAGTACTTTCCCTGAGACACACCAGAAGGGACTCTTAAATACCGAGAACAAACAGGGTTGCTGGAGTGGTGTTGGGGAAGGGGGGGATGAGCTGAATGTGCAAGGGGGCATTAAGACCACTGGTTGGGATGAGCACTGGGTGTTATATGTAAGTGATGAATCACTAAATTCTATTCCTGAAAATCATTACACTGTATGTCAACTAACTTGGATGTTAAATTTTTTTTAATGTTTATTTATTTTTGAGAGAGAGAGACAGACAGAGTATGAGCGGGGGAGGGGTAGAGAGAGGGGGAGGCACAGAATCCAAAGCAGGTTCCAGGCTCTGAGCTGTCAGCACAGAACCAGACGTGGGGCTTGAATTCACGAACTGTGAGATCATGACCTGAGCCACCCAGGGGCCCAGGATGTAAATTTCTTAAAAATAAAAAAAGAAGTATTTTCCCTGATCCCACAGGGAGAAATACACAGATTATATGAGGATACACGCACACATATGTATGTATGTGGGGGGGTGTATCCCTGTGGTGGACAGGCTCTTAGGGTAACCGCCCCCCCCCCCAACATGATTCCCACCTCCTGGTGTTCACACCTGCTCCTGGATTGCTGCACTGAGGCCTCAGTTCCTCTCTGGCCATCCCGGCCACTGGGATGTCTGCGCAGGACAGCTCACAGCTCCTCTCGGCGAGGCAGGGCGAGGGCCAGCACAACAGATGCCGATCAAGTAGCCTGACCACAGAACCGGCTGTTCCGTCAGCTTGGCAGCATTCTTTTTGCTGGAAGTGAGTAGCTAGGTCCAGCCCTCTCTCAGAGGGTAAGAAGGACATGAACAGGGGGAGGTGGGGATCGTTGGGGTCCGTGCTGGAAGGTGCCAACCGGAGTCCGTTCATCCCAAACATACCCTTCGGCTGTTGTGGTCTGATGTGGTAACAGAAAGAAAACTAACTGTACTTCTAAGGCTTTGGGCCGTCTTTAGTGCCTTTCCACTCCCTCCCTCGGCATCGTTGGCATCTGGGGCACGATCGTGCGCTGTTCTGTGGACGTGGAACGGCATCCCTGGGCTCCCCACGTACCTCAAATGTCACATTTTTTTAATGTTAAGGTATTCGTATCTTGATGACCGAGCTTTTTGGTGCCAGCAAGGAACACACAGTTGCCACTCACCGCGCCGGGTGATAACTCACCCACCACCATACCATCCTAGGAGGTAGTCAAGTTATTCTGCACATTCTACAGTGGGAGAAACCGAGGCTCGGAGAGGTGACTGCGGGTGTGCACGGTCTGCAGGGAACCGTGAACTTGATCCTGTCCGGCTGACAGCTTTCCCAGGGGTGTACAGTTCGGCACCGTGGCCGTCATTGGCTCTCCTGCCGCGGCCACAGCAGAGGGAGCGGACTCCTCCCTCGGCAGTTCCCAGTGACAGGCACAAGGCAGGCGTCTGATGGCCCCGTGCCCCTGCCGGCCGATGGGCCAGGTGTGCACCTGCAGCCGGGTCCACTGTGCCTGAGAGGAGGCAAGAGCCACGAGGGATCCCTACCGGATGGTGTGGAGGTAGCAGCCATTGGTCCTTGAGCAATACTGCCACCTAGGGGGCGCTGCGCGCACGGCAGCCTTGGTCTTGAGGCTCACACGGCCAACACTGCCACCTGGAGGGTGACGTAGGCGTGGCAGCCAGAATTCCTTGGCAAACACTGCCACCTAGAGGGTGCTGCAGACAGAGCAGCCAGCCTTGGTCTGGCTGCTGCATCCAGGTGATTCAGCCTCCCGCGTGCTTTTGATACCTACTCCCAAAGGTTATTCTGGGAGGGGCTGTCCCCTCACTGAGGAGAGGAACCACCGGACAGCTCCAAGCCCACCAGGCGGGCACTTTCAGCCCAAAGCCTCTGGGCTACCTCCTCATCCTCAGCTTCAGGGGCTGGAGGCTTCTCTTTGAATCCATCAAAGTACTTTCCAGAAACGCCCTCCAGTTCCTCTGCCACGGCCAGGTACGTGCTGGGCTGGGCTGCCAGCTGGGGGCTCTTGACCAGCAGCCAGAAGATGGGCCCTGCAAGGAGCCCATGGGGCATTCAGTCCACACACGTTCTGGGAGGACGACACAAACAGCCCAACGCCTCCACCACGATGCCCCGGGCCCACAGAGGCCAGAAGTCGGACCGCAGGCCCACACGGCCCACCTCCAGGCCTTTGCCTCCGAGGTTCCCTCCACCAGGGGTTCCCTTCCCCGGCACTGCCCAGCCACCTTTGGGCCAGAGACCGGCCCCAAAGCTGCCTCCCCAGCAAGCCTCTCCAGCTTTCCCCAGGAACACGGGAGCTCTCCCTCCTCTCCTTGAGCTCTGAGTCCTTACCCTACCTCCTCTTGCTTAAAATAACTTTTATTTATGAAATGTCTCCAGCGCCAGCCTCAACTTAGAATCTTTGATATCCAGCACCCACCCACGAAATGTTTTTCAGGCCTAGTTCTAAAGTTCTAATTATTCAGCCTAAAGCTGGGTCAGACCCTCTGCCGGTTCTTTTAAGGGCCATCTCATCCTCACGACGGTGAGGAGCGTGCTGTTATGGCCCTCGCTTTGTCGTTAAGGAAACAGGCTCCGGGAGGGGAGGATGCCTCCCTGGGTGGCAAAGCTCATTTGGGGTGAAGCTGGAGCCACCCCAGGCACAACCAGGAGTCCGCTCCATGGTCTCCTTCTCTGAGACTCGGTTTTTCTCATCGAGCAGGATCTGGCCTGTTTCCTGGGGCTATTTCCAAGGATGGCAGGCTGGATCCACATGTACCAGTAACTCGTTCTCAGTACCCCGGAAGATACGAGGGAGGGGGCAGAGCCAAGCCCCGGAGAGAGTCTCTGAGCATGAGATACTCTCTGAAGGAGTAAAGAGCTCACCCTTCACCAAGGTGGGTGGGCACCGTGCAATTAGTTGAAGGTGCAAACGGAACAAAAAGCTGGAAGAAGAGCCCATTCTACCCTCTCTCTGCTTGAGCTGGGACATCCGTGTCCTGCCCTCAGACACCAGGGCCCCTGGCCTTCGGGCTGGGACTGACACCAGGGCTCCCCTGGTTGACAGGCCTCTGGGTTTGGACCAGGATACACCACCACCTCTCCTGGGCCTCCAGCAGACAGAGGGCAGATCACGGGGACTTCTCCGCCTCCGGAAATGCACGAGCCGATCCCTCACGACAGGTCTCTCCGAGCATCTGCATATATACTATTCTGTGTCTCTGCAGGGTCTGACTGATACGCTGAAGGGAGCTGGGCCCCAGGCGGGGCGGGCAGGGGTTCGGCTAAGGGCCCGCAGGCCAGGAGGGGGCTTACCGAGCGTGAAGCTGGAGAAGGCAGAGCTGTGCATGCCCGTGTGTCTGCCCAGCTCCGTCCTGGCCACGCCGGGGTGCAGAGCGTTGACAGTCACGCCCGTGCCTGACGGGAGAGGGAAGGAGAGGGACGAGGGGGTGAGCAGACACCAGGTTCACGCCCCACCTGGAAGGCTGATGCCGCCCGCCCTCGGCTCCAGGGCCATCCCATTCCGCGTCCTCCCCTTGAATCCACATCACCCCCCCTTGCTCAGAAACTTCCACAGCGAGTGGTTTCATCTTGCAGAGCAGCTCTGTCACATAACTGCCTAGAGCAGGGCCTCCCGAACCTGAACGTACGTGAAAATCCCCCGGAGGGCCTGAGAGCCCCCAGCTGCCGGGCTCCACCCCCCCATCCCCTGAGAAATCTGAGGCGGTGGCTCGGGGTGGGGCCCGAGAGGCTAGTTACAGCCAGCTCCTGGCTGAATGGACGTGGCTGGTCCACGGATGCTCTCTGAGAAGCAAGGGCACAGGGCGGACCTTCCGACTTCGGCCCCCTGGACGCTGAGGTCAGATCGTTCTTCATCCTGTCCGCGGCAGGAGGCTGGGCAGCTGCATGCCAGCAGCAACGCTCCCCCCACCTCCGCCGCCCCAACGGTCTTCAGATACTGCCGAATGTCTCCAGGGGTGCCGACTCACCCACGGTTGAGGACCGCTAGCCCAGAGCACCAAAGGCTTAGGTGCCGGTGCGGGATGAGCCGGGGAGAATGCCACGATGCATCAGTGACGTCTGCTTCGCGCACCAGTGAACACGGTGCCGTGCGTGTCCCGTGTCCACCTACTCTGTTCTGGGACCCGTGCTTGACCTCCCATGGGCCCAGCGTCACAGGAGGACTGTTCCAGGCGCAGAGCTAGAGGAAGAGAGAGGCCAGCGAGGCTCGCCACACACGTACCCTGCAGCCGCCGGCTCAGCTCCTTGGTAAACAGGACGACGGCCACCTTGCTCTGGCAATAAGCCGCTTTAGTGTCGTACGTCCTCTTCTCCCAGTTCAAGTCATCAAAGTCCACGTGACCTGCGACGTGGGCCAAGGACGAGAGGTTGATGATCCGCGAAGGGGCCGAGGCTTTCAGCGTGTCCAGCAGCAAGTTCGTCAAGAGAAAGTGACCTGGATGCAGGACAACAAAAAGGCAATTTTCCCTGAATTCTTACCTGGCACATAGGACCGCACTGAAAACATGACCTTGTGTGACCCTCCCAGGAACCCATGGCTCTGGACAGGGGCCAGATCCATCCCCCAGGGGACCTCTGGCAACACCTAGAAGTTGCGGTCGTCACAACTGCAGAGAGAAAAGGGAGGTGCTCTGGCCATCGGGTGGGTGGAGGCCAGCCAGGCACGCTCCTAAATAAACGTCCTGTAGCGAGCAGGGCGGCCCCACAGGAAAGAAAGATCCAGCCCAACATCAAGCTCTGCACGAATCCAATGAGGTCGGTTGGGGGACGGACCGCCTTCCGTCTCCCCAAATCCTTCCTCCATTTCTCCTTCAGCGATAGAACTGTCAGGGCTGCCCAGTGAAGCACTACATTTCCCAGACTTCCTTGCACTGGCATCAGTCATGTGACTGGGCCCCAGCCAATAGGACACTGAGTGATAGTCACGTGAGTTATGGCCCTCCAAGACCTCGGCATGTGGTCTTATTTGGAGAGAGGGGTCTTCACAGAGGCAATCAAGTGAAAATGAGGTCATGAGGGTGGGCCCTAATCCAGTGACTGGCACCTGCCCAGTACCTAGTTCCTCCTCGCCCTTGCTAAGGGAACCCCTGTTGCATTCAGGGTGACAACAGGTGGACGGAGTAACTGAAGGACAGACAGACTGGAGGACAGACAAGGGGTCAAAAGGCCGAGACGGATGACGGATCTGAAGGACTGGCGGAGCACCCGGCTGTCAGCAGGCAACTCCCTGAGCTGCCGGTGACCCCACAAGTGGCCGCCCAGCTGCCCTTGAGAGTGAGGAGGACCCACAGAGGATCCCATTCACATCCCAGGCCGACGTTGACCCCACACAGCCCGCAGCCCGAGGCCTCACCCAGGTGGTTAACGCCAAACTGCATCTCAAAGCCGTCCTCGGTGGTCCAGTGGGGGCACCGCATCACAGCCGCGTTGTTGATCAGGATGTGCACGCGCTCTTTCTCTGGAGGACAGGGGTGAGGGCAAACGTGTCAGTCCCACGCCTGCGTGAAGCACGAGCGCAGCTGGGGGGACAGCACCCCCTGCCCTGGGCTGACCATTGTCCCCCAGACATTCACGCCCAGCCGGAGTCTGGGAACACAGCCTGATTTTGCACAGAGTCTTTGCAAAAGTTATCTAGTTAAGATAAGGTCATCGTGGGGCCCTAAACCAACAGGACTCAGACAGCAACAGCGGGGGGAGTGTGCTGTGGGGACGGAGGCAGAGACTGAGCGATGCGCCTGCGAGGACCGAGGGCCACCTCCAGAAGCTGGAAGACGCAGGAGGGACTGTCCTGTCTCAGGAACAGTGCCGCCCTGCTGACACCTCGATCCTGGACTTTTGGCCTCCACAACCGTGAAGAGACTGAGATCTCAAACCAGTTTGCTATATTCTGAAAACAGACACGCCCCACCTGCAGCTCAGAGACGTTTTCTGAAAAGGGAAGAGGCCACATCTGCAGGGGCCTCGGGGCCTGAAACTGGGGGGTCACGCGTGGGAACTCCAGCTCAGCAGGCAACCGATTCCCAGCCCTGCCTCTCCACAGGCACAAGCGGCCGTCCCTCCCTGGGCCTGTTTCCTTGTCTGTAAAATGGGACGAATAACAGCACCCTCCACCCTGTATCAGTCAGCTAGGGCCGCGTAACAACGGGCCACGGAAACATACTGCGTCCCAGCTCTGGAGGCGGGGAGTCCGGGATCAGCGGGTCTCAGGATTGTCTCCTTTTGAGGACCGTGAGGGACAATCTGTTCCTGGCTCTCTCCCTGGCCCGTAAACAACTGTCCGCCTTCTGTCTCTTGCCTCAGCATCTGTCTGTTGTCCTCACCTCCCTCTCTACAAGGACTCCAGTCATACTAGAGTAGGGTCTACCCTGCTGCCCTCACTTTCACTTGGATACCTCCGTACAGACCCTGTCTCCAAATAAGGTCACGTTCTGAGGTCCTGGGGGCTGTGATCCCAACACATCTTCTTTTGAGGGGACACAGTGGAACCCACAACACTCTCAAAGTGGTTTTTAGGTTCAGTAGAGACAACAGACTAGTTATCCAGCACCTTGTAAACAGAGCCTCTATTTCGTTCTTTATCTGATGGTGGATGGGGTAGCACGGAACTACCTGGAACCATCAGACGAGGGTTCAAATCCCCTGGCTCTACCCTGGCCAAGGCACACAGAATGCTCTGATTCATTTCCCCCTCTAAAAAGGGAAAACACTAGAACCTGCTGGGTAGAACAGGGGAGAAAAAGCACCACATGTATGACATGCTCCGATTATATCAAAAAGGCCCAGGGCAGGTATATATATCTGCTTGCTTTAGAAACGCACTAACAGGGGTGCCTGGGTGGCTCAGTGGGTCGAGCGTCCGACTTCGGCTCAGATCATGACCTCATGGTTTGTGGGTTCGAGCCCCACATCCGGCTCTGTGCTGACAGCTTGGAGCCTGGGGCCTGCCTTAGATTCTGTGTCTCCCTCTCTCAAAAATAAACATTAAAAATTTAAAAAAAAAAAAAAAAAAAAAAGAAATGCACAGTCTCCAGAAGGACACCCAAGAAGGGGTGCACTGAATACATCTGAGGAAGAAGGTGTCTGGGAGCTAGCGGCAGGGAGATGGTTGGCTGTATCCCCGTTTGTACTTTCTGAACGTTTCCTCTCATAAATGTCATTCCTGTTCCCAAACATAAGGACGTAAACCAGTTCTGAGGACATCGGGTGGGAAGCAAGACGAGAGAGTCACGAGTGTGATGCAGTGCAGAAAAATGCCAGCCTAGTCCCCGGATCTGCAGAAAGAAACACCCAGCAAAGAGAGCGTGAGGGCCGGGTACCCTGTGCTGTGCCCATCGTCGCGGCCGTGGCCCCACACAGGACCCCGCGCAGAGCCTGGATCCGACTCCTGGCTGCGTCCCGGGCGTCACCCGCCACCCCCGAGAGCCAGGGAGCCTCAGAAACCCGTGGAGAGTCGGCACCATTGCCCTTCACCAGGCTAACTCATCCCTCATCCCCCCGCACTTCCAGCCTCATCTGGGCCTCTGCGTCTGGGGGATCTAATGCCGAAGGAGTTCGTTTTCAGACAGGGCAAGCTTCTCCTGTAAAGGACCAGACTGAACACTTTTGGCTCTGCAGGCCATACCGTCTGTCTCTACTGAACTCCGCCGTCGCGGGACTAACGTGGCCACAGATGATACGTAAACTAACGGGCACAACTCTGTGCCAATAAAACTTTATTTACAGACACTGATATCTGACCTCCATACAATGTCCGCATATCCAGAAAGATAACTCTTTTGAGTTCTTCCAACCATTTACGTAAACGGTTGACACGTAAAATACGTTAACGTGACCAGAAGAGATAAAAAGCGTATCATCTTCTCCCACAGACGTCTGCCCCTGTCCGAAAACACGGGCCGCGGTCTACCAACACCCCACGGTAGCCCTAGGACTTGGCTGGTTTAAACTCACTCCTCAAAGCCTGGCCACCCCACCGCGCCCCTCAAGGCCGGCGTCCTCCCTCCTACCTTCGGTGATCTTCGCCGCGAACTCTCGGATGGACTTGAGGGAGGCCAAGTCCAGGTGCCGGGCGCTGACGTGGTGATTAAGGGTCTCCCTGCGAATGTCCCTTGCTGCCGCTTCACACTTCTCCATGTCCCGACAGGCCAGAATGATGTTGCCTCCTGGAAGCCCAGGACAGGATCAAGGATATATTTTTTTTAATCTTTTTTTTTTATGTTTATTTATTTTTGAAAGAGAGAGAGCATGAGTGGGGGAGGGGCAGAGAGAGGGAGACACAGAATCCTAAGCAGGCTGCGGGCTCCGAGCTGTCAGCACAGGGCCCAACGCGGGGATTGAACTCACGAACCTCAAGATCATGACCTGAGCCAAGTCGGACGCTCAACCGACTGAGCTACCCAGGCACCCGAGATAAAGAATATTTTTTAAATCCTCCCCTCGGGGGACCCCTCAGTGGCTCGGTCAGTTAAGTGTCCAACTCTCGATTTCAGCTCAGATGATGATCTCACGTCACGGTTCATGGGTTTGAGCCCCCACATCGGACCCTATGCTGACACTTCAGAGCCTGCTCGGGATTCTCTCTCTCTCCCCATCTCTCTCTGCCCCTCCCCTGCGTGCACACATACTCCCTCTCAAAATAAATAAAGATTAAAAAAAAAAAAGGATAAGTGGGTAACCTGTGTGTTGTGTGGATTAAATCTCAATACAGCCATAAAAAAAAAAAAAATTAGAAAAATGACAAGAACCAGGGACTGAAGAAGGACAAGCAGCCATGGTGCGGACCGCGTGGATGTGTGTGGCTTACCTGCCCGCCACCGGGCCCCACTGTCCCTCACACGCTCCACAAGGGAACTCACGGGACACGGATCCGTTCATCCTCTGCTGCCTCGGGACCTCAGGACCGCGGTGGGTGTGTCCACCCTCTCCTGGGGGGAGCACGTGCCCCCTCCTTGGGGAAACCCCAGGGCCGGGGGGACTGCCCATCACGGCCCCCACCGCTCTCACCTCAGGGGTGGACAGGGGTAGACCCCACTCCGGCCTGGCCCGCCAGGACCCATTCCCCAGCCACCCCAGCCCGTCGAGCCCACAGAAAGTTTGCGATCTCCCACAGCCGTCAAGCCTGCCCCGCCGCAGCCTTCCCGCCCCCACCAGTGGCGGCTCTGCTCCTCCAGCAGCTCAGACGCAAATCCTCGACTCCTCCTTTTCCGGTGCCTGACCTGACAGGATGTCCACTGACTGTAACTTGGAAGGAGACCTTCACGTGCTGAGCGGGGCAGTCCTCCCGCCCGGAAGTCCGCCAGGACCCCAGTCCGACCAGGAGAAAAACACTGACCGGACCCAGATCGAGGGGCCTTCTACAAAACGCTCGACCAGTAAGCCTGGAAGAGCCTGAAGCCAGATCCTCACCCCCAGCCTCTGACCCAGGCCCCAAGCCAGCCATCAGGACGGAGTCGACTACCGTAAGGGAGCGCAAGGCCGGCACCAAGAGAAAAGCCAACAGCAGAAACTGCTGGGTGTCCACAGCCTCCTCGGAGACCCAGAGTCTCCCTCACCGCGTTCAGAGAGGAGAACCTTTCCGGCCTAAGCCGACATGACTTTGGACCTGGACAACCAGAAGGCCTTAGCGTCCCCCAGAACGCAAACCCTCCAGCACCAGACCTCACACCCCAAGCCTCGGGCAGAGAAAGCAGGTGCCCGCTGGGGCCTCACCTCTTTTGGCCAGCTCCAAGGCGGTCTGCTTTCCGATGCCCGTGTTGGCGCCGGTCACAATGACCGTCTTCCCGAGAATGGTGGCCTTGCTGGGACAGGACCCTCCAGCAACATAGTCTCTGAAAGCGAGAAACCACGTGGTCAGTTCTGTCCATCTGCACCCTTTGCTGCAGGTGCCGACATGAGCTTGTGTTCCCCAAACCGAAAGACGGAAAGGACATCTGGTGACTGCATGGGGGCCACTGTGATGTCACAGGTAAAGAAAGGGCTCAGCAGGGCCAGGTGTGGGGGAGCCTCTATGACAATCAGTACTTCCTGAAGACCCGCTGTGTTCGTTTCCTGTGGCCGCTGGAACCAGTCACCACAACCTCGGGGCCGGGGGGGGTGGTGGTTAAACTCTGCTGGATCTAGGGCTCTGCAGGCAGGCGTCCGAAACGGGTCTCACTGGGATAAGGGCAGGGTGTTGGCAGAGCTGTGTTCCTTCCAGAGGCTCTAGGGGAGAGGCCGGTCCATGCCTCTTCCAGCTTCTAGAGGTGCCCAATGGCTCCTGGCCCCTCCTGGCCCCAAAGTCAGCCGTACAGCGTCTTCACGTCCCTGACTCGGAAGGACCATTGTGATTGCGGTGGACCCACCTGGACAACCCCCCCATCTCAAGGTCCTTGACTCAATGGCATCTGCAGAGTCCCCTTTGACAGGTAAAGGACCATATTCCCAGGCTCTGAGCATTAGGACGTGCCCATCTTTGGGGGGCAGGGGGACCCTTACTCTTTACCCATGTCCCACAGAAGCCAAATACTGGAAACAACTGAATGTCACCAGTGGGGGACTGGCCAAACAATGCCATCTCCATATGAGAGAAGGGAGCTGTACAAGACGGAAACCACCAGCCACCTGGGGCTAAGTTTTTATTTAAATTAAAAATAAGGGCACCTCTGGGGCACCCGGGTGGCTCAATGGGTTGAGCGTCCGTCTGACTTTGGCTCAGGTCATGATCTCATGGTTCGTGGGTTCAAGCCCCACGTCGGGCTCTGTGCTGACAGCTCAGAGCCTGGAGCCTGCTTCGGATTCTGTGTCTCCCTCTCTCTCTGCCCCTCCCCTGCTCGCGCCCTGTCTCTCAAAAATAAAGATTAAAGAACCTTAAAAAAAAAAAAAAAATAGGGGCACCAGGCTGGCTCAGTTGGAAAAGCAAGCGACTCTTGATCTTGGGGTCGTGAATTTAAGCCTCACGTTGGGTGTAGCAATTACTTAAACAAATAAACTTTTTAAAAATAATGAAGAATAGGGGCGCCCGGGGGGCTCAGTTGGTTGCGTGTCCGACTTCGGCTCAGGTCATGATCTCACAGTTCGTGAGTTCGAGCCCCGTGTCGGGCTGTCTACTGACAGCTCAGAGCCTGGAACCTGCTTCAGATTCTTTGTCTCCCTCTCTCTATGCCCCATCCCCACTCATGCTCTGTCTCTCTCCATCTTACAGATAAAACATTTAAAATATTTTTAAATAAATAAATAACAAGATACAGGCCAAGTACATGAAAAAGGCTTTATCAGACCAGGAGTAACAACTTCAAAATGAAGCTGCATCATAGCCCCAGCAAATAAACCCAAAGGTAATTATTCAAAGGGATTTACAGTCTATGCTTCATTCCCTTAAAAAAAAAAAAAAAAAAAAAAAAAAAGCATTTCAATATTCCAATCACTTTCAGGCCTCCCAGCCAATCTCTTGTATTGTGTAACTGTAATAAAATGATATATTGCTGGGGCGCCTGGGTGGCTCAATCAGTTGAGCGTCCGACTCGATTTTGGCTCTGGTCCTGATCTCACGGTCTTGAGATCAAGCCCCTCCACTGGCTCTGTGCTGAGGTGGAGCCTGCTTAGGGTTCTCTCTCCTTCCCGCTGCCCCTCCCCTACTCCTGCACCTCTCCCTCTCAAAAATAAACAAACCGTTTTGTTTTTTTTTTTTTTAATTACATATTGCTGGGCACCTAGGTGGCTCGATCATTAAGCATCTGACTTCAGCTCTGATCATGATCTCATAGTTTGTGAGTTTGAGTCCCGCCCGCATGGCATGGGCTCCAGGCCCTCTTGGGATGAACATGAGCCCCACTTTGGGTGAGCCCTGCTTCTCTCTCCTCTCTCTCTCTGTCCCTTGCTCACTTCGACCCCCTCTCTCTCCCTCTCTCTGAAAAAAAGAAATTATATATTACTATTTCTTTTTAATTGCGGTAAGAACACTTAACGTGATTTCCACCCTCTTAACAAGTTCTTGAGTGTACAATATAACACCATATTGTTAATTACAGGCACGATGCAACTATACTTTAAGTGCTATCTATCATAACGAACAGCACAAATATAAAACACTTCCATCAGCGCCGAAAGCTCTCCGAAGCAGTGCTGCTATGGAATACTGGGTTGGCTGGGTTTTCTGTGGGGTTTTTTAGGGAGTTCGCCCAGGAGAGACAAGTATATATAATCCATGCAGTTCAATCTGGTCATGCACTGTGTTGGGCAATTCAGTTTGCGTCCCCGATTTCGGATAAGAGAGCTTAATGTGGCACACATTTTCCTTGCACCGGGGCCAGCACATGACTACGGAGACCGTTCAATAAGTGTCCGCAGGACGGATTCAATAATCGATGACAAGTACGGAAGCAATTAGACCAGCAGGTTCACAAGGGCCCGGATCCGCCCCCTTCCTCGGAGTGACCTTGGGCCGTGACCTGCCCTCGGGGGCCTACCTAGGTTTGCCCCCCAACACTGTCTGGGGGCGGGCTGGTCGGGTGAGCTGGAGGAGTTCTAGGCCGTCAGCCACCAAGCAACCTCTCCCCAGCCTTCCCCCCTCGCGGCTGCCGGCGGCCCACCAGCAGAGCGCACTCACCGGAGCAGCACGGCGCCACCCGCCACCGTGCCCAGCACGGAGAGCGGCAGGAGGTAGCGGTTCATGCCGGGTAGGAGCGGGGGTCGGACGCGGAGCCCCCCTCCCTCCCCCAGACCCGCCGCTGGGTCGCCCCCGGGACCGCTCAGCCGGCGACCCACGTGGGGAAGGCCAGGCCGTCTGGGACTCAGGCTTCCGGGAAGAGGCGGGGCGTCTCGGGAGTGGGGCTTCCGGGGGCGGGGCTTCCAAGGCGGGACCTATGAGAATGGGCCCTGGCGCCGCTGCGGCTGGGAATGGTAGTTTCCGGGGCAGTGGGCGTGGCCGTGGCCTAGGGGCGGGGCATGAGGGGCTGGGCCAGTGCGCGGGTTCAATGAAGTCATATTCGCTCAGCTACCGGGCGCGGCGGGGTTCTACTGTGACACGAGGGTTACGATCCTGCTGCTGCGGTTTCTGCCACCGCTTCCAGGCTGCCCTCCTCTGTGTGTCTTTCGGATATGTCAGCCTGTTTCCCACCTAAAATGCGTGTTCACCAGTAGTACCTTCCTCATAGACATTATGAGAGAATTTGAGAACTTCAGTGCTTAGAAACTAGGATTTAGTACCTTGGGGTTCCCAAACCCCTGGGGTCCTTGAGGAAAGAGTAGATCAAGGCGTGGACTCCTGGTCTGATCGAGGAGGGGGTAGGGACTGGATTCCCAGTTCTGAAGGAGAAGCGTCCGGGGATCAGAATTCCCCGAGTCTGAGGGAGGAGGTGGTGGGGGTCTGGACCCCTGGGTCTGAGGGAGGAAGAGGCTGGGAGCAGGATTTCTGGGTCTGAAGGAGGAGGGGCTGGGGGCCTGGACTCCTGGGTCTGAGGGAGGAAGGGCCGGGGCCTGGACTCCTGGTTTGAGGGAGGTGGGGATGAGGGTAAGAACTCTTGGGTCTGAGGGAGGAGGGTCTAGGGATCTAGACTGCTGGGTCTGAGGGAAGAGGGGCTGGAGGCTTGGACCCCTGGATCTGAGGGAGGAGGGTCTAGGGGTCTAGACTGCTGGGTCTGAGGGAGGAGGAGATGGAGGCCAGGACTCCTGGATGAATTATTGTAAATTTATACAATGGGTCATTATTGCATAAAAAGAATGAACCCCTGGCAGTTGCCGCAACACGGATGAAGGACAAAAGCATCATTCTGAATATAAGAAGCCAGACACCAGATTGCATGCCGTGTGACCGCAGTTAGAGGCATTCCAGGGAAGGCAAGACTATAGGGGAAGACAGGATCTGCGGGGCCAGGGGTGGAGGAAGTGATCACCAGAAAGGGAACTTCTTCCGGTTTTGGAAATAGTCTCTGTGGCAACCCTACTGGCGGTTATACGCATGACTACGTACATTTGTGAAATGTTACCAGCACGTTCACTTAAAAATAGTGAATTTTATTGCATGTAAATCGTCCCACAATAAAGCTGACTGAAAGAAAAACTGAAATTTTTTTTACAATCTGGTTTTGGAAATTACTTGACCGCAAGTAACTCATTTGATTTACGATTCGATCGCATTTGTCTGCAATCAACAGACATGCTTGAGAATTCTTAGGAGGTGAGAAAAATCTGGCTGATAAATTGTTTCCAAATGTCCCAAGAGATTTTTGAATATTGGATTGGACGACAAATCTGATGTAACATTTTGTAGGTATAGAATGAAATGTATTCACTTTGGGTCTGTAGCTTTTGTAGTTTGGAGCTAATGATTTTTCCCCCTTGGGGTGATGTTGCTCATTTCTGTAGTGTCCTGAAAACTGTGAGTTCCATGTGCCCTCTTGGACACAGGGCACCCAAAGGGAACACAACAGCCCTGGGTCCAGGATCTGTGATTGGAGACTCAGCCTAGGAATGTGGAAAAAGTTCCCAGAGGAGGGGAAACCCAAATAGGGTTTTGAAGGATGCATAGGAGTTTGGCAAGTGAAACAAGTGAAGAGGGGCAACCAGACAGGTGTAACAGCGTATATAAAATCTAAGAGTCATGAGGCAAGTTGTTTGGAGAGAGATGCACGTTTGGGACGACAGGAGGTTGGCTTGAAGGGAGAGGGAGCTCGCAAGAGATGTGGCTAAAGGGAAATTTTAAAAGAAAAAGTAAACAATAATACCAGCAACTATTTATTGAGTACCTACTATGTGTATTTAATCTACACAACCCACCAACAAATAGGTTTGTAGGGCAAAGAATAGGGATGTGGCAAAGGTGACTGAGTCTGGTGAAAAGCCTCTCCCCTTTCTGAGACTGTGGGAACTTGGGGCTCCTGGGCCATGGAGGGAACAAGGCATGTGAAAGGGGAAGGTGCCATTGAGGCTGTGCTAAGGAACCCCAGACCCTGACCTACACAGATCTTGCGTCAAATTCCTGCTCTCCTTCTTAGATGTGTGCCTGGAGCAGTGACTTTCCTTCTCCCAATTTCTGGCTCCTCTTACCCACCACATGGCAAAGCATTCACATCCTTCATATATAAAGAGCTCTTATGAATCTGCAACAAGGAGAGGGGAGCGTAGGTAAAGGGTATGATGGGCAGTTTGCAAAGAAGTAAAGTCAACACACACGCGAAACTACTCGGCCTTCCTAGGAAGCAAACAAATGCTTATTAGGATAATTACAAAATGATATTTTCCACCTATCAGATTGGCAAGATCGAGACAATGCTCATGTCCAGTGTTGGCAGGGATGTGGTTAAACACATAGTCACACCCACTGACGGAAGTTTCAATTAGGACGACCTGCCCGAAAGCCGTTCAGCGATACATGGCACAAATGTTTGTGCATATCTCTGAGCTGGTCATTCCTCCCGTAGGAATTTGTGCTAAGACAGAATTAGTCATTTGGAAAGAAAGATCCACAGGAAAATGTTCCTCACAGCCCTGTCTCTGTGTAGTAACAAAATGCCAGAGGCAAGTAAAAGCAACCTCAATGCCTGTCAGTAGTAGAGGGGTCCTGCTCTCTACTAGTCCTTCTTCTGTATTCCTTTCCGCAATTATTTAATGAGCACCTACTGTGTCCCAGACATTGAACTACACCCTGGGGAAGCCAGCAACAAAACAGACAAGGTCTCTGCCCTCACAGACCTCCTGACGCTGACAGTGAAATTAATTCATCTGTATGTGGCTCCGGACAGACTCTGCCTTCAACTTTAATGTTTAAGAACACCCATGACTTCCTGGGGGCGCCTGGGTGGCTCAGTCGGTCAAGCCTCCGACTTCGGCTCAGGTCATGATCTCGTTGTGGAGCATGAGTTCGAGTCCTGCATCAGGCTCTGTGCTGACAGCTCAGAGCCTGGAGCCTGTCGGATTCTGTGTCTCCCTCTCTCTCTCTGCCCCTCCCTGTTCACCGTCTGTCTCTCTCTGTCTCTCTCAGAAATAAACATTAAAAAAAGAAGAAGAAGAAACCCATGACTTACTTACTTAACCACCAGTATGGGGAGCTGAGAGGGCAGGCTGATTATTTCTCTCTGTTTTTAAGTTTATATACCAATGTACATATTTTTAGAGTTAAAAAAAAAAGTATAATATTCTGCGTAGGATCTTTGCCAGGCAAAGTGACGGCTGATTTCACTGTTTTTCACCTTCTGTTTATCTGTCTTTTCTCATTGTTCCTGGATAATGGTTTCCTCCTTGTGAAAGCATCCCATGAGGAGTAATGGGAGGGCAGTGGCTAAGAGCATGGGCACAGCAATCCACGTGGCCAGTGATGGATGAGTAGATGAACAAAATCTGGTACACACATGCAGTATTATCCGGCCATGAAGACACTATGCTACGTGCAGTAAGCCAGTCACAAAAGCCCAAATGCCATATGATTCCACTTATGTCAGGTCCCTAGAGGAGACAAAATCATAGAGGCAGAAAGTAGGACAGTGGATGTGGGAGGCTGGGAGGTAGAGGGGAATGGGGAGTCTGTGTATAGTGGGTGCAGAATTTCGGTTTTGCAAGATGAGAAGAGTTCGGGAGACGGATGGCGGGATGGTTGCACAGCAGCGTGAATGTACTTAATGCCCCTGAACTATGCACTTAAAAAATGGTTAAGATAGTAAATTTTATGTCATGTGTATTTTTCCATAATTTAAAAAAAAAAAGAGGAGGTCCCAAGAGGAGGAGAGAGAAGATGAGCACTGTGTGTTCAGATGCTGGTGCTCTCAAATTTCTTTGGTTTTTGTTGTTGTTGTTGTTGTTGTTGTTGTTGTTGTTGTTGTTTGGTTTTTTGGTTTTGGTTTTTGAGAGGGGGGAGGGGCAGAGACGAGACAGGGGGAAAGAGAGAGAATCCCACCAAGCAGGCTCATGTTGTCAGCACAGAGCTCGATGCAGGGTTTGAACTCGTGGACTGTGAGCTCATGACCTGAGCCAAAGTTGGATGCTTAACCAACTGAGCCACCCAGGCATCCCTGGTTCTCTCCGCTCTGAATACAGCATTTCCTGTCTGAGCCTTTTTCTCCTCTTATGTAAACTGGGCTCCTAATAGCATCTACCTCAAGGGTAGGGTTTTCTGCAAAGGACAAATAATAAATAATTTCATCCTCATGGGCCGTATGGTCCCTATTGCAACTATTCTGCCATTATAGCAGGAAAGCCACCATAGACAAGGTGCACACAAATGAGCATAGCTGTGTTCTAATAAAACTTTATTTACAGAAACAAGCAGTGGGCCATGGTTTCCCAGCTCATTAGAGTCTGGAAGGATGACATCAAGTAAATCACAAGGACCTAACACACAGTAAGTGCCAGAACATTCCTGCCTGCTAATGTTGTTATTACACAGAGAATAATACATGCAAATGTTGTTATTACACAGAGAATAATACATGCAAATTCCTTCCCCTGAGGACCTCCCACCTGGTTCCCAGACACACCCACGGTGTTTAGAAACTCTCTTTGGGGGATCGTTGTTGAGGTTTGTAAATTCTTGATAAGCATTGGGTGCTGTCCCAGGTGCTGAGAGACTTCTCCCACAAAGCCCTTTGCTTTCCCTATGGGGGGGGGGGGTGGCCCAAATTCATTCTCTCTCTCAATCTCTGTCTCCTGTTTTTAGGAAATACATGTAAAGTTTTTAGGGGTATAAGGACATCAGGGCTGCAAATCATTTTTAAATAGTTCAGAAAAAGCGTGGGAGAGAAAGAGAAGGAGAGAGAGAGACAGGAGAAGGATAAAGCAAAAATGTTTATGTTCACTGTTAATGTCTGGGGAGTAGCTGCTAACAGGTACAGGGTTTTATCTGGGGGCACTACAATGTTTTTTTGTTTTTCAGTTTTTATTTATTTTTAAGAGAGAGAGAGACCACAAGCAGGAGAGGGGCAGAGGGAGAGGGAGAGAGAGAATCCCAGGCAGACTTTGCACTGTTAGCACAGCACCCAACATGGGGCTTGATCTCACGAACCACGGAGATTGACCCGAGCCAAAAGCAAGAGTTGTACTTTAACCGACTGAGCCACCCAGATGCCCCAAGGAGCAATAAAATATCTTGGAACTAGATGGAGGTGATGGTGGCCCCACACTGAGAAAGCACTAAATGCTACTGGGTTGTTCACTTTAAGATGGTTAATTTTATGTCAATTTAAAAAAAAAAAGAAACTTGGTCAAAACACTTTTGTATAGCACCCTCAGTCTCTCTGGTCCTTACAGTGACCCTGGGAACCCACGATCTACCCTCATCATCCCTCTGTCTTCACGTTCCACCCCTCTGCCCTCACCCACTGCGCCCCAGATATGCTGACCTTGCTGATGCACACCAGACAAGCCCCTGCCTCAGGACCTTTGCACTGGCTGTTGCCCCTGCCTGGAAACCCTTCCCCTGGTATCTCCACACCTCACTCCCTCCCTTGAGTGAGGACCTCAGCGAGGCCTTCCCCAACCACACTATGACTTTTCAGTAGTATCCCCAGAGCACCTCCTGGGCCCTCCCTGGCCCCCTCCCCTGCCTTATTTTCCTTCACGGTACTATCACCACTGACATTCTAAACAGGTGACTTTTTATTTTGTTTTCCACCAGAATATAAACTCCACAAGGCAGGTTTGGGGCTGTTGAGTTCCCTGGTCCCTATAATGGCTCCTGGTGTAGATGCTTGATAAACATTTGTTGGATGAATGAATGAATGTCTCTGATACACGAGCGGTCACTGGGGGCTCCGAGCAAGGGGGGGGGGGGCGCTGAGGCTGTTGGTTGCTTTGGATGTCAGAACAGGCACTGGAATGTAGAGCCAGCTGCCGAGCTGTTCCTGGTTCCCGCGTGTCACCTGGGTCATTCAGCTATAGGTTCATCGCTCTTCTCTTTCGTGGAGGCTGAGCCTTGAGCCCTGTTCTAAGCATTTTACTTGTCCTCAAACCTCACTCCCCACTGGCCTTTACAGCAGGTACTAGGACTCAACGCTTGTTTTTCAGGAGGAAACCCAAATAGACTGCGAATCACCTGCCCCACCCCGGGATCTGAGTCCCTTCCTGGTCGCTGCCCACCCCCACCCCCAGGCCAAGCCCCCTCCCGCCAGCCTGGGAGCCAAGCTCCCCCCCGCTCCTCCCCACCGTTTCAGGAGACTGACCCGCCCTCCATCCTTCCCAAAGAATAAACAGCCCCACCACCAGCCTCCCTCCCCGACCCTCCTCCTCCGCGGGGCCCAGGCGGGTTCTCAGACCCACCCTCTGTGCCACACCAGGGTGGACCCATCTCAGGGGATGTGCAGGGAAAAACCTAGCCCCTCACTCTGCACACTTAGGCAGCCCCGAGTTGGTGTCACCTCCCCAACCAGACCCGGGCTTGGGGCAACCCCATCCGTGGTGGAGTCTGGCCACCCTCTCGTTTGCTGCTGTCACAGTCGTCACCATGACCAGGACTCCACTGTCACACGCTCTGGCCAGACGCACCCCCTACAGACCTGACCCGCCAGCCTCCCCAGGGTATTCCCTCTGCACATTCCTGACTCATTCTCGAAATTCAGGTCAAAGCCCAGCTGCCTCTTCCGCCAGGAGGCCATCCCTGACTACCCCCCCCCACCCATAGAGTGACCACACCTGCCTGCCCGAAGTCACTCCATCTCGTCACCTTTGTTTTCTTTCCTCCACGGCACTTCCCACGATCTGAGAGTCTGTTCACGTGTGTGCCTCCCTGTTTATCTCCTGTCTCCCGACACGCCCACTGACACAAGGGCAGGGGCTTTGTCTGGCCAGCACTCAGAACTCTCTTGGCACAAAGTAGGTCCTTAAGTATTTGCTACTCCGTGACTCTGGCACATTGCGTCTACCAGTGTCAACACTGAGAATGTCATCCCTTGCCGCACTGTCCTAGGAAAACTCCTATTCATCCTTCAGAACCCCGGGCAGCCATCAGTTAACCAGGAAAGGCTTCCTTCACTGGCTCACACATCCACTATGAGGCTGAAATGAGGGCCCCCTCAGGGGACACGCAGAGCCCTGTGCCACCTTCACTAGTGCACGTGACAGCACAGTCTCATCCCCCAATTAGACTCTTTTCTTCAGGGCAGAGTGTGGGGCACAGATTGGGTCTCAGGAACCATTCACCGAACGAATAAGTCAATTAACACATATGTAAATAAATACAGCTCCCACCTTATTTATATCTGCCAAAAACCTGCTGTCACCTCACATTTCCTGTGACTTTGTCCCCCCAAGAACGCTCTGTCCTAGGAATTTACCCGCAAACCCTACAGTTGGGGCGTGGAGGTGGGCAAGTGTGTAAGGAGGGGAGGTTGAGGAGAGAGATGGGGTGCTTTTAGATATGACGCTGGGGGAGCTTAGCTGATCAAGCCCCAGTGGGGAATTCTGTGTGGTGCCTGGGCCCCCCCGCCCCCACAACCCAGAGAATCAATCCAGTCCCCGGTGACGGAGCTACCCCGGTTTGGGGACACCAGCAAACTCTGACCCACATAGTCTTTGCAGCTCACTTCACAAAAGGCGCTGACCCTGGGGACGGGCGAGGGTTTGGAACGGGTTCCTAGTGACTGGTTCCCTTGGTGAGTCTCCAGGGTTCACTGCCTCCGCCCAGGACTTACTGAGTCAGACTGTGCAGGGGTGGGAGCCTCCACTGGTATTTGGAAGCCACTTGCTCTGGTTTGAAGAGAGGGAGGGGCCTCCTTTGCGGCCGGAGAAGGAGGAAGGAGGCGCTGGACCCAGAACTAGGGTGGAGGCTCTGGTTTCGGTCTCAACTTCTCACCTGCTGCTCCACACTTCGGAGCACCTGGAGGCAGGGACTGGGGCACCTGTGCTGAGCCCTGCCCTCCTCCCTCAGACACCAGCCCCTCCTCCCTCAGACCAGGAGTCCAGACACCCAGCCCCCCTCCTCCCTCAGACCCAGCAGTCCAGACCCCCAGTCCCTCCTCCCCCAGACCCAGCAGTCCAGACCCCCAGGCCCTCCTCCCTCAGACCCAGGAGTCCAGACCCCCCAGCACCCCCTCCCTCAGACCCAGGAGTCCAGGCCTCAGAAGCTGGAGACAGAAGCACGGGACCTTCCTGCCTCCCCCTGCAGCACCCTTGGGAGCCGCACACAGCACACCCTCCCCTCCCCTCCGCCTCTCAGGCCTGGAACACTCTTCCCTCACCCTCCCGGCTGCCTCGGGCTGCCAAACTCGCCCTCCAGGTTCAGCTCTGCCTGCCCCTCCTCCTCCAGGAAGCCTGCCCTGACCCTCTTAGCCTCCTCCCATCCCAGCACACATGGGAAGAAAGGCCACCATCGACACCCAACCTCGCGTCTCTCTTGGCCGGGCGCTGAGAGGGTTCTCCCTTAACGCCGCCAGTGTTGCGATCCCCGTGTTACAGCTGGCCGGACTGGGGCACAGAGAGGTTGAGTGATTTGCTTAGCGTCCCACAGCTAGCAAGGGGCAGAGTCACGACGTGGCTGCACAGGGAAGCTAGCCCCAGAGGATTCAGGGTGTAGATTGTAGGGCCCGGGTTCCGCCCGTCCCCACCAGGTACCTGCTGTGTGACCGTAGACAAATTCCCTAAAGGTGTGTGTCCGCACTTCCTCAGGTGTGGACAGGAGATAATGGAACCCGTTTCCTAGGATGTTGTGGGGATCAGACACACACACACACAGTACTCAGAAGAAGACCTAAGCACACCCGCATCACGTAGGAAGTAATAAGTATTATCAACTCTGTTTCATGGCAAAGTCAGAACTCGAACACCCACCCGCCCCGGCTCTTTGCCATCACCCCACAGGATTGTCTCCCCTTCGCTCTATTCTTTCATCCCTGCCAACCCAGGACAAAGGGGTGCTTCCTGTGGTTTCCAGCCTCGCTCAGCGTGGACTGTGGGGTCAACACGGGCCGGACGAAACAGTGAAGCATCGTCCACACGAATGCACCGAAAGCCAGTATCACTCCAGCACTGAATGTGTGCTAGACCCTGTTCTCATGTGCGGCAGACGGAGCGCGGGGCTGAACATACAGAAGTCTCTGCCCTCCGGTCACTGGGGGGCTCGGTTGGTTAAATGTCCAACTTGGGCTCAGGTCAGGATCTCACAGTTCCTGAGTTCCATCCCCGTGCAGGGCTCTGCGCTGACCTTGACGAGCCTGCGGGGGGTTCTGTTTCTCCCTCTCTCTGCCCCTCCCTGGCTTGTGCTCGCGCGCGCGCGCTCTCTCTCTCTCTCTCAAAATAAATAAAAAATACATAAAGATAGGAAAATAAAAAATACATAAAGAAAGGAGTCCTGGCCCCAGCCCCCTCCTCCCTCAGACGCAGGAGTCCAGACCCCCAGTCCCTCCTCCCTCAGACCCAGGAGTCCAGAC